AAGCTGCTGCCTGCAGAGCCAGGAGCATTGCACCAGGACGCTCCCCAGTCCTGGGAGGTGGCATTGCCCAGAGCAGCAAGCTGGGAGAGGGGATTTTTCCCATCCCAGTACTGGGAAGAAGAGCAGGGACAGAGCACTGGAGCTCACTCCCACCTCTGGAAGGCAGCGTGGTCTAGCAGGCAGGTGAAATGGCTTTTACATATAGAGACTTATACAGCTTATAGCTACAGCTCTAGGGTGAGCTCTACCACGGACCAAACTGGGCACGACATCCCCAGTTCCCCCCTTCTCTACAAAGCCTGTGGGGGGGAATCTCTGCACCCCTCTACCCCCTCTGCAGGGGGCTCACCCTGGATACAGCCACAGAAGGACTTACTGGGGTCGACGTAAGCCCAGCTGGGGTGGAGTGGGACTGATGGGGGAGGAGGATAAGCACCAGACTTCATCCCTTCTCCCGCTGTCGCCTCCTCATAGGTCGGAGGAGCTGGCGGGGCTGTGGCATTGTCCTTCTTCTCCCCTTGCCCCTCGGAGTTGGGGGGTTTGTTGTTCACAGAAAGCTGCACAGAAAGAGGGGACAGAGAGATTAGACTGTAAAAACAGCACAGAAACTGCCCTGCAATGGGAACCTGACAGGGCACAGACACAGGTCTGAAGGTCCCTCTGCTGAATCCCAGGAACTGGAAGGACACCCAGTAACTCCTGCAAGCTGGCAGTGGACCCACCCCTGCACCTCCAGGAAGTAGCATCCTCTGATGCGACTGAGCGAGGAGACGGGAGAACACCCGACATGTAAAAGGGGATGAGAAGGTCCAGGCAACCAGGTCTGAGGGTGGATGCAGCCTTGCCCAGGGTCCTCCACACTGCCTCAGGCTCATGTGCGACACTGGAAAGTATCCAAGTCATTCCCTGCTTCTCAGCCTACTTCTTTCCAAATTTCCCCTTAAAAAAGAGCTTTCGGTTAGTGGGCAGAAAACCCTGAACTCCTTCATTTCCACTGAGACTCACATTTGGGGGGGTTTCTCCTGGCCCCCAGAAGTGCTCTGGTTTGGCCCTCCGACATTTTCTTCCAGTGCATCCCTCCCTGCCCATCTAGAGGCTCAGCCTTGCTGCTTTCCATAATTTGACAATGCAGCTAAGGGACTTGGGATCTGATGTCTTCTGACTATGAAATCCCAGCAAAGAGCCAGCCTCAGGCCACCTGAGAACTTGCTTCTCCTCGGGAACGTTATCCATTTAACCTTCTAGATCTTTGCCATCCCGGGAGAGGTTATGAGCCTGGTATCCTGCCCTCGCTGCCCAAGGGCTCAGCATCAGGGTGAGCATTCCCATGGACCACAGGGATGCAGGGCTGGAACCACAAAAAGTCCAAAGTGAAGCAGCTCGACTGACCGACAACTGACAGCACAGTCCCTGGGAGAAGGCCTTAAATTAAAAACATAACAGGCCCTTGAAAATAAAGCCAGGCTGGGATGTGCACCGTGAGCAGATCCAGCTGTGCCGGGATAACTGTGCCACCTCCTCTGCCAGCTCACAGGGACCGTCCTCACCCTGTCCTCTGTTACATAGCCCTTGGGTGTAGGGTGGCCAATATCAGGGTGTGGGGTGGCCAATATCAGGCAAGACCCCCAGAGATACCCATGGAGATACAAGAGGGACACTGCCACTTGCATCCAGGCAGCCTCCAGCATCACATCGTTGCCATGGCAATGGTGCACGGTGCTGGCAGAGGATGCATAAACCCCCCCTTCCCTGGTCTCCAAGCATCAGAGAACCCCAAAAATCCAGAGCTCCCTGGACCAGGATGGAGGTGCTCAGGGCAGGCACCAAGTGCTGACTGCTGGGGGCATGGATGGGAACGCACAAGCCCCCCATTGAGCTCCCTGACATCCAGGATGGGGGGAGGAAATGGCCACAGGTCCAACAGCAGGGTTAAGCTCCACATGCAAGGAAAACCAGCCCCCAAGGCCATGACACAGCCCTCCACCCCCTTCCTCTGCTGAAGACCCCCTGGTCACAGGTGCCAACGCACCGGGCTGTGCACAGGTACCCAGCTCCCCCCTCCACAGAAACTGTTTTATTCCTCAAGTCCCCTCCCTTCAACCCATTTCCCCCCTGCCTAAACATGCAACAATTATGCAAGCAGGACGACTCGTCATCCAAGCCCTGGCCTCCCACCTACCTTCCCCTGGGTCATGGCTCCGCGCTAACGATGCTGCCAGACCCGGCGAGCAGCAGCGGCAGGGAAAAGGCCGTAACGGAGCGCAAGCCTCCTCGCCGGGTCCCTTCTGCCCCCCTCTCTCGGGGTGTTTCGGGGCT